TTTAAATTTAAAAGCTGAGGCAGTACTAAATATTTTTCTCTTAAACAAAACTTTGTTCTGGAAGTCTATTTCACTTTAGCCCTTGAAAGTTTAGTGTCTGGGACGCCTGAGTGGCTCAGTCAGTTAAGCATCTGCCTTCGGCTCAGGTCATGATGCCAGGGTCCCGGCTCAGCGGAGAGTCTGCTTCTCCCTTTCTCTCTGCCTGCTGCTCCCTGTGCTTGTGCGCTCTCTCTCTCTGTCAAATAAATGGATAAAATCTTTTCTAAAAAGGACTGGCTGTTACATAGTACATCTAACCTGGTCTAAGTTGTCAAAAAAGGCTTCCTTAAGGCATTTAAGCTGAAATCTCAAGGATGGAAGGAGACACTACCCGAGCAAAAAGAAGGTGACAAAAGTATTACAGGTAGCCAGATAAGGGCATGGCAAGCTTGAGATACAGAGCAGTTGAGTAAAACCAAAACATGGAATGGAGAAGGCTGCAGCTGTGGAGAAATATGAAAGGATCAGCAGAGGCCAAGGGGAGGGTCCCGAGCAGTGCTGGATGGACTTCTCAGCCATGTTAAAACACTGGGACTGTTCCCATGGGCAAACAGGAAGCCACTGAGGGGTTGTGAGTTTGAGGGTATGGGCGCTGGAAAAAGCTCACTGTGGTTGGAGAGAAGATGAGAAGCAGAAAGTCAGTCTCATTGATCATACAATGAACCAGTAGAGTTTTAAGAATAGCTTAGTGGGCCTGGAGACATTTCAAACCTGAGAAAAAAGTACAGGAGGTATAATTGACGATTTTACTGGTTTTGCTTATCAGGCTGGTTGTGTTGCCTTAAAATTTCATTGACCTGGGGCACCTGGGTGGCTCAGTCGTTAAGCGTCTGCCTTCAGCTCAGGTCATGATCCGAGGGTCCTGGGATCGAGCCCCGCGTCGGGCTCCTTGCTCAGCGGGAAGCCTGCTTCTCCATCTCCCACTCCCCCTGCTTGTGTTCCCTCCCTCGCTATGTCTCTGTGAAATAAATAAATAAAATCTTAAAAAAAAAAATTTCATTGACTTGAAGACTTAATCTCTTAGTTAACTTTCTACTTGGCTGACTTAGGCATACTGTCACTGGAACATAGCCAACCATGTAGGGGGGCCAAGAAGACAGTGTAATGAAAGGGGCACTAGCTTTTAAAACTCAGAGGAATTTGGGCTCCTGGGTGGCTCAGTTGGTTAAGCGACTGCCTTCGCCTCAGGTCATGATCCTGGAGTCCCGGGATCGAGTCCCACATCGGGCTCCCTGCTGAGCAGGGAGTCTGCTTCTCCCTCTGACCCTACCCCCTCTCATACTCTCTCTCTCTCATTCTCTCTCTCAAATAAATAAAATCTTTAAAAAAAAAACTCACAGGAATTTGACACACATGACTTCTTTTTACATATCATTGGACCTAGCAAACCACAGGGCTATTCCCGACTTCACCTGAGAACTGCAATCTTACAAAGAGAATATTTGTGCATAGCACTAATGACTATCATAGGCTGCCCTCTCAATTATTAAATATTTAATTTTACCCTCCTTTCCTCAAGAAAATAGATCTACCATAGGAGACAACCTAGAAGTCCCAAGCACTGAGGTAAAATTGTAGGATATGTCATTATCTGCCCTTAACACAGTCAGTTACAATGGTAGAATAGGAACAGGAAAACCGCAGGAAATACTTCCATTCAGAAAAGGGGAGAATAAAGCCACCGTACTAACAGTTATGAAATGTCACTGGGGAGAGAGACTGAGGGCTTTCTACCCTGAGAGAGGGAAGTATCCTTTGTAAGGCTGATTGGGAGGGACTCCCCAATCCATTGTTTTCCACAACTCTTGGGCCCATTCCTGATTTGCTGGATGAAGTTACCCTTCATCTCTGCTTTCAAACTGGCTGTTGGTTCTTCTCTTGACAAATGCAGCCAATAGTAACCATGGTACTAAAATTTTGTTTTCTAAGCTTTTCACCTACGTGAACATTTCCCGCCTTCTAAGCTATCACATGTGACCGTTTTAATAGGATTGGTATCCTTCCAGCCCTCCAATATCAGTTCCCCCAGCCGTTGTCCTGAGAAACACCATCATCTATTCAGCTACCCGAAGCTGGAAACCTGTGCTTTTATTCTTTAATCTTTTTGCCCCTCATCTTCCACATTCATTCTATAGATCCTGCCAAAGGATTCCATCAATTCTGTCACTATCAAGTTTTTTAAAAAATGTTAGTTACACACAAACCATTTACCTGTAAGTCAAAAGCCATTTACCTATAAGTGTTACAAAGCTGTGAGGTATGATCGTTTTACAAATGAGGAAACTAAGACACAGAGAATCTAAGTAACTTGCCCAAGGCACAAAATCATTATATACAGAACTAGGATTCAAACTTCCAGTCAACGTGTTTAACCAATGTTAACCTTCAAAATAAGTCTGCCAGTTATTTTACCAGCAAAAATGGGCTTGTTTAGGAATAGAGAATTTTAATCCAGGACAAACAAGATACAGGAAAGCCATAAGTAAACCCCCAGAATAAAGGAGAGGACAGCTCTTATATAGGAAAGGGGGAAGTTGGGAAGGCTATTATAAACAAAAAGTCAATTGGAGTAAAATGGGAGCTCAAAGTATGGTGGCTTTGGCTGGGCTGTTGCCCACAGAGGAGGAAACCTTTCTTCCACCTGGCCGGTCAGTAAAATAGTAGCTATCCTAATATGGATTTACAAGGTACATCTGGTCCTGTTGGGCATGCAATCCACCACCAGGAGTAGGATGTCTGAGCTCCCCCTGCTGGTCTCTTGCTTCCATTCTAAAGTTTACTTTTTTTTTTTTTTTTAAGATCTTATTTATTTAATTTTAGAGAGGGAGAAAGAGCACATGGAGGGACAGAGGGAGAGGGAGAGAATCTCAAGCAGAGATAGGCAAGGCTTGATCTCATGACCCCAGTATATGACCTGAGCCAAAATCAAGAGTCGGCTGCTCAACCAACTGAGACACCCAGGTGCCATCCCCCCCAGGGAATTTCTTAGGGGCTTTCCCACCCTTGTTCTTCCTGTTACTTGGATTTTCCAGACTAAACATCCTTTTCATGTTGTTATCCAGTGTGGCTTTCTCTGTTGTCTTTCCTCTCCCACACCCCCACGTGACCTGCCCCAACCTCTTTGTTCACCAGAAATAAGTCCCTCCAAATGTTTTTTGAATATAAGAACCAGTCCTAGTCTGGTTGGATTTGAGTTCAATTCAAACATTGTAGATCAACTAAGATTACTCCTCATCAATATTAGATTTCTTTCCAGGTCTACTCCCATGCTATTTAGGCCAGCTGCCCAACTAACCTATCATAAACCGATCCCATCCACATATAAGGTAATCTATCCACATCTTTAATGCTTGCCATGCATAGTAAGAAGCAAATGTCCACCTTATCCCCACTCCCTGTATTAGGTTATTGATATTTTTTTGGTTTATCTTTCCAGAAAGGTTCTTTTGGTATGGACAATGTTTCTTCTATTTCTGTTTTTACATACTACTATACAGTTTACACCTGGCTTTTTTCTATTAGCACTCCTTCCACATCAGCATACAGGGATATACTTTGCTTTTTAAACGTATTCTATTACATATGTCACAGTTCAGTCAGCCACTTCCCTACCGGTGGACATCTCAATGACTCAGTTCTATTGTTTGGTATATGATGCGGCAATGGACATCCTTCTCCATGTTGTTTTTTTTTTTTTTTCTCTTTTAAGCTATTTTATTTATTTTTTTTCTTTTTTTTAATTTTTTTATTGTTATGTTAATCACCATATATTACATCATTAGTTTTTGGTGCAGTGTTCCATGATTCATTGTTTGTTCATAACACCCAGTGCTCCATGCAGAACGTGCCCTCCTCAATACCCATCACCAGGATAACCCATCCCCCTCCCCCCCTCCCCTCTAGAACCCTCAGTTTGTTTTTCAGAGTGCATCCTCCGTGTTGTTTTAATGCCAGTAGCAGTGACTTCAAGTTTTGATGGAGCCTCCCAAGTTACATTCCTACCAAACCAGTTCGAGAATTTAGCATGTCATTCTCTCCCCTGCTAAAATCCTTCCTCGGAGGGGAATGTAATGGAAAGAACTTGGATTCTACCACTGAGGACCACAGGCCATTTACCTCTCTGGGCCTCATTTTCTTCACTCATAAAGTGAGGTGGAATCTGACATCTCAGGGTGGTTGTGAGAATCAAGAGTCTGCTTCCATGAAGGCTTGGCTCTAAAAGAGGTCTGGTTCCCTTTTAGTTTTTGAGTGCCCCAGGGTATGGGCCGAAAGCTCAGGCCCAACAGGCTAGAGGAGCCCCTCTTCCGACCTGTATGAGAATGAGGCACAAAGGGCACCAGACGTTTGGTCAAGACCACACAGTGTTGGGGGCAAAGCTGACCGACCTGAGGCTGAGGGGCTGCCAACGACCTCTGGATACCGGCCCCAGGGGGCTGTGCACATCTGGACTAAGTCAGCTGAGGTCTGGCCTAGCTGCCCCCCATTCTACCTATTCCTCTCCCCCAACTCCCCCCTGTCCCTACGCAAACACTCGAGCACATTCCGCATTCACTTGAATGTCGGTGTCCTCCCTCCCAGCAGGGCCTCAGACGTTGCACCCTCGGAACTCGCCTTTTGCACCAGTGAGCGTGAGTGGGGCGTACGTACGTGTAGAGGGCAGACGGATTTGTAGAACACGTCACATTTGTGTGTTGCGTGGTGTGCACATCCTTGTGTGGAGATGTGAAACGTGTGCAGTGGGGTGTGCAAATGTGGTGATTCATGGAGTACGGAGGCCCTGTTCCACCAGCACCCAACCTTCCCGGCGGTACAGTCTGACTTCCCTCACCCTTCGCCGCGACCTTCACAGCATTTTGCGCGTGCGCGACTCCTCTTTGGGCTCCTCCCCCCACCCCACCCCGCGATTGATATCCCGCCTTCGCCCCGCCCCCGCCACGCTTTACGACCCCGCACGCCAGTTTTGCTGCAGACGCTCCGGCTGCCGCCGCTGCCCCTGCCGCCGAGGCTTTTGCCGGTGAGGTGAGCTGAGCTGAGCTCTGCTGACCTGAGGTGTGTTTTTGGGCTGGTGCCGCCGGCGGCCGAGGAGTAGGTGGGGAACCGGGCCAGCGGGGACGGCAGGTCGGTCGCTGCCTTGTTTCCCCAGCTTCGGTTCCGTCTGCGTTGCTGCAGGGAGGCCGCCCCGGCCCGGCGAGCTGAACCAATGCTGGATCTGGAGGTGGTGCCGGAACGCTCTTTGGGGAACGAGCAATGGGAATTCACGCTGGGTGAGTGTGGGATCCTACTTCAGAACCTTACGCTGTTTCTTACTTACCTCCAGGCCTTTACTGCCTCTGGTCTCTGCCCCTTATTCCCCTGCGCCCGCGGGTCCTCGCCTCTTCGGTCCTCTCGGCTCTTTGGGCTCCGGGCACTAAGTTACCCGTTCCTACCGGCCAGACTCGCTAGTCTGTCGCTGGTTCTGACCTTGACGCCCTCGCCTCACGCTTCAGCAGGGCTCCTTCTGGGGCAGTGGTACAGTAGTAATAATAACAACAATGGCCGACACGCCCAAAACACTTATTCAAGGCCAGACCCTGCTTCTTTGCGTAATTATCTCAAGTATGCCTCCTTGGGGTTTGAGGGTCCATACTGTTGTTTTTTCTATTTCCATTTTACAGACTTAATAGCTAAGAAGTGACTGACACCCTTAAACACCACAGTAGTCCGTCTCCTTTTGCTTTACTGGGCTGTAGGTTGCCTCGTCCGTAGGGGAAAGCTGGGGTCAGATCCCATAATCACATGTTAGGGATGTGGTCAAGGGAGGTAAGAAGAGTTTGTGTATTAAAGGAACTTGTTACTTGTTTCCTTCTCCTTTTCAGTGTGGTCGCTGTGTGGTGTAATCCTAAACCCAGACCTTAGCAGAGAGTTGAAGATTTAATGAAATAAGAGTTCAGGGAAAGTAACATTTAGTTTTTATAAAATGCAGTTTGGCCATTTTGGGGGTTTTGGCCCAGTATTAACTATTCCCAACGTCACTACCTTTATATATACAAATATGTGCATTCAGTGACTCCAGTGTATGTTTACACTTATCCAGCACTAGGAAAAGGGGGTGTGGAGCAGGTGTTGGTGCTCTTTGTGCAGACTTCAACTTTTGTCCCACTAATTTGGGCTACTGGACTGAGTGACCTGCTCCTTTGGGCTATTAACTCATCGTTGAATCTGGAAGACTTGTCAGTGGAGACAGGCTAGATGAGAAACTGCACAATAGATCCTGGTAGGACCCTACTTGTGCTCAGTGTCTCCATGAACTAACTGAACTACAAGCCTCTGGGTTATAGGAGCCAGTTTTATAGAGAGGTCTTAGCCATTTCCTCTCATAATTTACACCACTCCTGCAGAGTTCTTCCCAAAATTTTAGCTGGTATGAAACACTTTGGCCTCTTGTGAAGCACCAAGAGCTTCATTGGGAGGCCAGTAATACATTTGCCTTCAGATCCATTCATATGCTGATGCTGTTTGCCTTCTATTTAAGAAGGAACCTCCCCTACCCACGGCTTCTCATACCAGTACTTCACAGGGCAGAGAGAACCACAACCATAACTTCAAACTGTGCTTGATGGTGCATGCATGTAGTTTGTGAATCTCAGTGTTACAGAGCCTCTTGGCCAAAAGTAATGATTAGAATGTCATTTGAGGGGTGGGTGGCTGGCTTAGTCGGTAGAGCATGCAACTCTTGATCTCGGGAGTTGGGAGTTCCAGCCCCACATTGGGGGTAGAGTTTACTTAAAAATAAAAAGAATGTCAGTTGAGGCCAGGATTTCCCAAAAAAGCTGGGGGAAAGAGCAAGTCTTCTTCTGTCACCTGTTGTTTAGATACCTTAACCCCCACTCCTAACTTTGCCAGTTTCCAGGAATCAAGGGTTTGGGTAGTTCTTTCAAACTGTTTAAACATCTAAATGGCAACAACAGTGAAAAGAGCATTTCTGTACAGTGGCCCAGAATTGAACTTTGAGGGAAGCCTCATAGAGGTGGCTTGGCCTTGATGATTCTCTGGTGGGTCTTAAAAATCAGCCTGGTTCTGTTGGTAAAGCATGTGACTCTTGATCTCAGGGTTGTAGGTTCAAGCTTCACTTTGGGTGTAGAGATTACTTAAAAATAAAATCTTTAAAAAAAAATCTGCAGTTTTAAAGCGTGTCTGCCTGAAAGATGACAGTTATTTTAATTTCCTCAAGCTTTTTTAAAAAAAGACAGAAAAAGATTTTTTTCTTCTCTCTCAGTCTTCTCCCCAACCCTCAACACATGTAAACTGCAATAGGGGCTGATAGGTAGGGATAGATCTAAGAAGTGGATCTATGCTTTAGAATTACATTCCTAGGCTAGAGAACTAGGCAGTGCTTAACTAAAGTCACCACAACCCTGTAAGGTAATCTCCATTTGCCACACGAGGAGCAGGCTCAGAAAGGTAGAGATGATGAAAAGTAGGTACCTGAACAGGGAAATCCTTCTTCCCACTGCTCTGCCCTTCTGAGGATTGGCTCAGCTTTGTCTCTGTTCTTTTTGGAATCTGCAAATGCAGATGCTTCTAGCCCTTGCCATCATCTGCCTGGCATCACAGTGGGGAGTTGCATCCAGCTTCTTGGCTTCCTTCCTGACCTTTGTGTCATGTTGGGAGATGAGGGAAATGCCAACAACATGGACAGGAAAACCTAGGCAAAGAGGAATCTCTGAGAATGCCACTGATGGCTTGACTAGTGGTGGAATAAAGGCAATACAAACTTGAAACGTTTTCAGTAAGACTTGGAGAATGTATTGGTGTGGAGGCATGTGTCTGAATTGTTATAAACTGAAGGCTCACTCCATTTAAGGCGGCATATAGACCTCTGTGGACTCTGCTTACAAACATCAAAAATTGGGGGCCCCTGGGTGGCTCAGTCGTTAGGCGTCTGCCTTCGGCTCGGGTCATGGTCCCAGGACCCGGGGATCGAGCCCCACTTCGGGCTCCCTGCTGCGTGAGAAGCCTGCTTCTCCCTCTCCCACCACCCCTGCTTGTGTTCCCTCTCTCACTGTCTCTATGTCAAATAAATAAATAAAATCTAGAAAAAAACAGACAGACATCAAAAATTGAATAAGAAATGGTCATATACCCTGAAGAGTTTAGTGTGAGGGAAGGGTTATAGAAATAGTTCATTATATTAAAATGAGGTAGAGGCTGTATAGGGTGCTTTGGAGGGGAGAAAAGACTTGAGCTGACCTGGGGATTCAGGGAGGGCTTTCTATCTACCTACAGTAGTCAGTACCATTCCTGGAGCCAGTGAGCACCAGGAAAGCCCTATCAGAAATCTGCCAGATTGCTCTTCTACAGTGTCTCTATAGATATAAATCTTCCAGTCAAATTCAAAACAAAACAAAACAATGGGAAAGATTGTGTGTGTAGGGAACTATAAGCAGTTTGGTATTATAATTAGAGCGTGATGTACTAATGGAAGAAAAATGGGTTCTCCAAATTCCCAATACTTTTTGGTGGTAGCTGCCTGGGACACTACCAAGGAGTTTGGGGTCCAATGGAAAAGAGGATGAAGTGAAGATTAGTGAAGTGTCTTGTGGACATGGGTTTAGGAAGAAAGTTAGAGACTAGATTTGGGGAGGTGGAGAAGGAATCTAGAGGTGACTGGGTAGATGTTAGAGGTATTGAGACCCAGAATACAGAAGAGAACTCAGATTGAAAAGAAGATGAAAAAGTCACTGTGTGAGTCCAAAACTAAGTGGTTGGTTGGATGAGTGAATGAGGAATGGGCAGAAGGAAATGTTGCCCATCATAGAGACCTGGGAAGTTAGAGGAACAGCAGGAAAGAGTGGTGTTAGTAGAGACAGGATGAGAGTGCTCAGAGTGAGAGCATGGTCACCAGGTTCTATGGTACAGGATTTACGTGTCCCATAATTGCTTTGTTTCACTCCATCAGAGCCCAACAGACACATAGGACCACCTACTATTGTGCCAGGCACAGTGATTGGGTGCTGGGGATACAGCAGTGAGTAAGACAGATAATGTTTCTGTCCTCGAGGTTTAGAGGAGACTAACAGATAAATAAACTGGGTGGGAGGCTTTATTAGATAAGGCAGTTGGGGAAGTGAGATGTGATTAAGACCTGAAGAATGAGAAGAAACCAACTATGGGACGAACATTCCAGCAGAGTCTGAGCTAGCACAGAGGCCTAAAGTAGGAAGGAGTTTGACATGTGCTGGGAACAAAGGGAGGCATGATGAGCAGTGGAAAGAAAGATGGAGGTAGACAAGATCCAGAATATTCAGGGACTTTAGGCGATGGCTTGTTGTTTTGAGTTTTATTGCCCTGTAATGGGAAACTCTTGGAGGGTTACAAGCAGATAAATGATGAGATCTATAAGACATAAGATGTATACAGTTGAGAAGGCTGACATCCATTCCGTACCCTTTTTGGGGCTAGGTAGCTCTGTTAGAACTGGGACAGTGCTCTAGTTTCTTTGCCATACATATGGTTGGTTCCCTTTAGAGGACTTTTGTAGCCTTCCTTTATCAGCAGCTGTGTGACAACTGGTCCTTGTAGCTGCTTTGTCTCCTCCAGGTGGGTTCCTCCCCAGGTGACTCAGGACCTGAGAACCCAAAGATTGCAAGGCCAGGGATTTGATGTGGTTAAGTGGAAAAGAGTCCTCCCTTGAGAAACTGATTTATGCCATGTGGGTCAGAGAAGCCATGTGGCCTTCTGTTTCTCAGCACCTAACACATGGATGTTTGCCTATTCTTTTTGGGAGAGACAGCATAGATGCTCCTCCATTTCAGGAATGGCAGAGCTGAGTGATGCGTCCAATTTGTTCATATTCTTAACATTTATTAAGCCTATTAAGCCTTACTATGTACCAGGCCCTATGTTATAGAAGGCGGGAAAGTGCCTTGTGTTAAGGTCTGGTTTCCTCCAACTTTCTTCAAACTGTAAAATGGACCATCAAATGAGGGCAAGGTTAGATCATTGTTTAAATGTAGATAGACCATGTGTTTTTATAACCTTCTGTTATTTGTGTGTAAACTCTTTTCTGCACATCTCTCCTAGAATCAGAGGTAAGTGATCTTGAACGTGAGCCACTGTGCTACTTGAGGTCATATGGTGGTCCCTCCTTCTCCCTTTCTCTTATTACCTTCTCCATTATCCGTCAGCTTGACTGAATAAGTATTTATTCAACAGCCACTATGTGGTAAACCCTGTCCTGGGTGCTGGGGATCCAGAGAGTGGTGAATAATAAAACACTGCCCTTGGAGTAATAAAGCTGTGAGTCTTTGATTTTGGATTTTGTCTGGGACTTTGTTTTGGATTGTCTCTCTGTGAGTTTTCTGAAAACATACTTTTTGGTAGTCCCTGGGATATTAGAGATATTGTTGGGATTTGGATTTCTTAAATTGGAGGCATATATAAATTTGTTTATAATGGGCCATGAGTTCAAAGATCGAGTATTAAGACTTAGAGGATTTGTGGGTTGATAAGTAAGGATCCAGTGAAATTCTTAGTAAAGTAAGTTGGTTCTGGTAGATGTGTGATTTTTTTTTTTTAAGATTTTATTTTTGTTTTTTTGAGAGAGAGAGCATGAGAGGGGGGAGGGCCAGAGAGAGAAGCAGACTCCCTACTGAGCAGGGAGCCCGATGCGGGACTCGATCTGGGACTCCAGCATCAATAACTGAGCCGAAAGCAGTCGCTTAACCAGCTGAGCCACCCAGGTGCCCAGATGTGTGATTTTTGACTTTTTAAATGAGCCCTTACAAGTCATGTGCTCCTGCAGACTCTCATTTGAGAGATGAGGAGACATGCCAGAAAGAAAGAGAGGAAGGAACGTGCCCTAGGTAATACGTAATTCATGGCAGAGTGAGAACCAGAACCTTGGTCTCCAGATCCAGTCATGCAGTCAGTGCTTTTCTCACTGTTCTTTGGTTCATGCTGACTTTGCCTTCTCTGAGCCCTTTTCCTGCTTGGGATCAGGACAGTAGTTCTCATTTCCAGGAATCTCTTTTATATATTCACTCCCTCCCCTTATACAATCCAGTTGTTCCCTTAGTGCTTGCTGCTAACTTTATTCTAGCTCTTGCTGCTACTGAACTTTTATTTACTCATTTGTTTATAGACCTTAGTGGCCCCCGCCTCCCACCCCAGGCTTTACTGCACGGTCTAATGCCTACTATGAAGATCGATGTCAGGAAATGGATAACCCAAGTAACCACACAGGTGTCCTTGCTTTATTTCAGGAATGCCTCTGGCTCAGGCAGTAGCCATTCTTCAGAAGCACTGTCGCATCATCAAAAATGTCCAGGTTCTCTACAGTGAACAGGTGAGTGGTAGCTGCTTTGTTTACTGAAATAGCATTCCTCATCACTGAGTCACATCCAGAGGTTGATGCTCTGGGAGAGACAGACTGGCAGGGATTGCTCGGTCATTGTGTTTGAATGGGAGAATCTCTAGCACTGGTCAGTCACCAAGTACATTTTCTTTGATTCTGAAACTTTTCGTCTTGATAATCTAGTGCTGCCAGGTTTGGAAGAGCACTAATAACTGAACTTGTTTTTTGATGTGTTTGACTTATCTACTGGTCCTTAGGGATATTTCAGTGGGAGGGCACCTCAGGGACTATCTTGTCTTCTAGGTGCTTGCCTTTCACTTTTGTATTTAAAATAGTCTTTTTTGCTTTGTTTATTGCTTTGGTTTGTGTTCAGAGTTGTTGCAGTGCAAATTTCTAGCCAGCAGAGCACTCCAGACTTGAAAAGAAGCAGGTGTAGCTCACTACTTTAGTGAGAATGATCTGATACATGAGATCATGTGTCAAAATATTGGCCCCAAATTAATGGACATAGTTCCTATTTTGCTTTTTTTTTTTGGTCTGATTTATGGTGGTCTCTATTCAATGTTGGTCAGTTTTGCCAGGAATTAACCCCTATCATATAATGTTGCATGTATCTACAAAGACCTTTTCCATTTCCAGAAAGAATATATATGTTACACCAGAGTACTTTCTGAACATCAGGATTTTTTGTTTGGTTTTGTATGTAAAGTTAGAGACTATTTTTTATGGGTTTTTAGAAATAGGATTCTTTTTTTTTTAAGATTTTATTTATTTATTGACAGAGATAGAGAGAGCACAGGTAGGCAGAGAGGCAGGCAGAGGGAGAGGGAGAAGCAGGCTCTCCGCCGAGCAGAGAGCCCAATGCAGGACTCGATCACAGGACCCTGGGATCACGACCTGAGCTGAAGGCAGCCGCTTAACCAACTGAGCCACCCAGGCGCCCTAGAAATAGGATTCTTTATCTCTCTAAAAATGCAGTCTGCCTTCTACTGAACTCTCTGAAACCTGTGATTCTTCTGTGACACAGACCATGTGTTGCTGTGTGGAGCAGCCTTTATGGTGCCCTATGTGTCACAAACCTCAGGGAATAAATAGATTCTGTATTGTTTTGTTTTGGTTTTGGGTATTTTTTTGTTTTTTTTTTTAATATTTGTTTGACAGAGCACAAGCAGGGGGAGCGGCAGAGGGAGAAGCAGGCTCCCCGCTGAGGAAGGAGCCCGATGCGGGGCTCGATCCCAGGACCCTGGGATCATTACCTGAGCTGAAGGCAGATGCTTAACCGACTGAGCCACCCAGGCGCCCCAGGGAATAAATAGTTTTGAGCCTATACATGCTACTGCATGTCCTCACTCGCTTTTCTGAGACTTCCACGTACTGTTTTGATGATTTTAGTTCCCTTTGTTCCAATTAGTTTCAGATCCTAAAGCAAATGACAGTTTATTTTTGACAGGAAGAATGTTGTGGATTAGAGGTGAGTGTGATTTCTGTGAGGCTTTCCAGTTTGGCCTAGTGTCAGGGTTGAGCCTCTCACGTATGTCCACACATTACACTCTGCAGTACAATACTCCTCTTCCAGCCCAATGAGAGAGACCCTATGTGAAGGGTCTTCCTGAGACAGAGAATGCATAATCTCCAAGCAAGTGCTTAGATATTCTTGTGGTGCCTACCACGGAAAAAGGGACTTCTAAGAGTGGGCCAGGGGATTTCTTGAGCCACAGTGTCAAAGTGTTTTCTCATTTATAAAGTGAAGGATGGTGACTTTTCCTCTTTGTCGTACTCGAATGATCCCTAACCTACTCTGACTTTCAGTGTTAGACCATAAGGGAATTACTCATGACGATTAGCAACCATCCAAACAGGGATAATGGGCTTGCTTCTTGAGCTTACAGCTCCTGCATATTCAGTTAAATCAGATTTGGGCACCCCAAAATTAGATATATTTGAAAATAGGCTTAACCGGTTTTTAAGAATGAAGTTTATTTCTTACTTCGCTACCTTTGTTGTCTGTTGTTCCAATCTTTAGGTGCACATAGTAGTTCTAGCATTAAGCTCATTCCCCTGATATCTCCTAAGCAACTGGAATCAGTTGGAAAACATGGGTTTTTGAGTCCAAACCTTCGTTCGGATCCTTGCTTTTCCTATTTCTTAGCTGTGCAACTTTTGGTCAGTTGTGCCAGGAACTAACCCCTGTCATATAATGTTGTATGTATCTGCATGCAACCAGTCTGGTTCTCCTTCTGTAATGTGGATATAGTTTCCTTGTAATAGAATAATCTTTTTTTAAATTTTATATTATTTATTTTAAGTAATCTCTACACCCAATGTGGGGCTCAAACTCACAACCCCAAAATCAACAGTCACATGCTCCTCTGACTGAGCCAGCCAGGTGCCCTAGAATAGAATAACCTTTTGATGAGGATCAAGAGGAGGTGGTCTCTCAGAGCTCTGATGTAATGCTTCCTAAATTGGGTCCTGTCCTCCTCTGCCCTCCTTCCCGTCCTTTCCCATCGTCTCCTTGCTCCCATCAAGTGTGAAGAATAGTTTGGCCCCATTAAATGTTTCAGAAATATCTTCTTGTCTCTAGCATATCATACCTTGGAAGTTAAATGTGTGTATCAAGTAGGTCCCATCTTTCTTAGAGGGAAAAGTGTTAACAACTAAGAGTGAACAGCTTTACTAACTGTTTCATATGGAGGACTGTATAGTTCTGGGTCACTGAAAGGGCCTGCTTAAACATAACATAGTACAGGTATACTTTGGTTCTGGAGATATAAAATACTAATAAAATAATGGTTGTGAGGATAATTTGCTTGCTTTTGAAAATTATCTAGTTATGTCCTGAATTGTAACCATGTCAGGAGAAAAATGATCAGATCTTGGGAGAGTGTAAGAAAATTCAGATCCTTCCATCATTCCTCCTCCAAACAAAGATCTTGAAGGATGCTAAAATGTTGCTTCATCCTGCTTACTGCCATGTAATAGCCCTCTCAGAAATGTGTTCCAGGTTGAGAATCAGTGACCTAACGTCAGGGTTCATTGTTGTAGCATCTTGCTTGAGGCCTAAAGGTTTTAGACATTCATACAGGTGTACTAGAAAATTACAACATTCTTTCTTCTAGTGTTTGCCAGGCATGGTGGTGCCACCTGGGCCTGCTACCTTGTGAAAATCATTGGCATAGAAGGGAACAGTCTGAGTTAATCCCAGAAAGCTCTTCGGAGAAAATTTTTCTTTTCTTTCTCTTTCTTTCTTTCTTTAAGATTTTATTTATCTGACAGAAAGAGCGAGAGAGCACAAGCAGGAGGAGTGGCAGAGGGAGAAGGAGAAGCAGGCTGTCCACTGAACAGGGAGCCTGATGTGGGGGGCTCTGTCCCAGGACCCTAGGATCACAACCTGAGCCGAAGGCAGACACTTAACCGACTGAGCCACCCAGGCGCCCCTGGAGAGAATGTTTCCAGTGAGGCCCACGCCAGTGGCACCTGGCCTTCCAGCCTACATCTCTATCTCTGACAGCCACACTTCTGTCATTCACTGTGCCTACCTTGGGTGGCTCTATAAAGAAACTTCTAAACTCTTTTGAGAGCTATGTGCCAGTTTAAAGGAGGGACAGGGTTTTGGATGTTGGGTTTTTTGTGGGGTTTTTTTTTGTTGTTGTTGTTGGGCAGCTCGGTTCAGGGCTATGGAATGGCTTCAGATGTCAGATCCTTGAATTGATTGCATTGGAGCAGAAGCAGGCTGGTGATACAGACATGATGAAAGAGTGCAGTATGCCAAGTGCCGTGCTTGGTGCCCTTTCTCTTGCTATCTAGACCTACTATCTCTGTTCCCACAACAACCCTGGAGGGAAGGGATGATGGTATTCCCATGAAGAAACTAGAGCTCAGAGAAGTTTTAAGAGTCACTTAAGGTCACCAGCTCACCAGTATTCAAGGCTGGCTCTGTCCACTGCTTTGTGCTGCTACTCCCCTCCCCCCAGACTCAGAAGAGGCAAATGTAGAAATATGACTCCTTAGATCTTAGATTTGGGCTTTTCAGAAAGAAGCACATGTGATATGGGATGGTGGGGAGAGGGAAGGAAGGAGTAAGAGTGTCATCTCATATATAAACAGCACAAGGTATTTCTTTGTCCTGGAACATGGCTTAAAGCAGTCAAAGTATAGAATAGATTTCCTGTGGATGGCACAAACAGCCTGGAAGTGAATGGACATAGGTTCAGCTGACATGCACTGAACATTACCTGACAAATTTGGGCCCTAGAGAGGCCCTTTTCCCTGGTCTCTGTTCCTCATTGATTGCTCTGTAGGTTTGATAGGTAAACCCATGCTATAGATGTGGACTCTGAACCTTCCAAAGAAAATGGCCTATATATTCACATAATTTTGGCCCTTTCCCTCAGGTAATATTACTCAAAGCCTAGAAGAAAGAGGCTCTTTTCATCCAGTATTAGGAAGCAGCAGTTTCAGACTGGAAGCAGAGGACACTGCATTCACACAACAGTTTGTTAGTTGGGCGAGGGAGGGGCTATCTGCACTTCCATAATCTCTGTGCATTGCATTTAGATTTGTAAGGTTTTTTAGTTGCTGTTGAGTAAGTTGTTCAGAGTGCTTTACTTTTTTGCAGTCTCCTCTAAGCCATGACCTCATCCTTAACCTGACTCAGGACGGGATCAAACTGCTGTTTGATGCTTTCAATCAGAGACTTAAGGTAACTATGAATGACAACTAAAGTTGCATGTCAAGCTGATTAATATGTGCTATTGTGAGATGTTTCTGAAACTAATAAGTCAGAGTAGACTCCTGTGATTCAGAGTCCCCCACAGTCTAGGGGACTGAAGCTGTACCTGTTCCCCTAAAAAGAGGAAAGCTGCAGGTGGGGTGGGGTGGGGGGGGGTGGTTGGAAAGAGGCTGGAAAGGACTCCAATCCAAGGCTCCAGAGGTGAAAGGGAAAAAGTGTTGAAGATTTGGGGAATATGCTATGGGGAGGGGACTCTTAAGTTATTCAACTTAAGGAAAGCAAGAGAAGAGCTAAGTATCTGGCAGAGATTATTGCAAGTCTTAAAAGGGATACTAAAAATGGGGCCTAACTGCAGAATAGGACCAAAAGACTTGTTTTTGTATCTTGTTTTACTTCATTCTTAGGTCAAACAGTATGTCTTGGAAGATAAAAAATGGAACTGTTCTTCCTAAAATGCTGGGGCTTAGGGCTTAACACCACCAGCAATGAGTTGATTCTTTAACCCCCTTCAGGATATGTAAACAAACAAATTAGTGGTGTGTAGGGTTTGTCTTAATTGCTGTTCAAGTGCAGTTTATTAACACCTGTTCTCAGTCCAGGATGTTTTTAATACACTATTTATGAATGCCTGAGCTTCACAGATTAGTCATGTGACACCAGACTCATGCCTCAGAGTCACAAGGTTGAATGTGGCTCTGGGCAGTGGCATACCAGAGCGGTTATCCTGGTTAGGTTGTGCCTTTCCAAAAACTTGGGTATTTCCTAGTTCTCATCATCCCATCACAAGTGAGCTGCTAAGGAGACAAGACGGAACATGGAAAAGGAATCTGTACGTTGAATGAGAACTCCTCATTTATGATGATTTTTCAAAAAGCAAATGTTCTTAGCCCCACAGCTACCTTGCCTCTCCTTGTAGACTTAGTCATCCTGTCTTCACTCACCAAAAGATTCACAGTGGGAAAGGGAAGACAATGGTCATTAGTGTGGTTTCATTACAAATTGGGGGAAAAATAATCTGGAAGCACCTTTACAAAGAGTTATTTGTCTCAGCTTGGTAAGTCCACTGTAGGAAACATAACCCCAAAAGCTTATGGGGAAGGTAATATTGCCAGGTATTTATAACAGGGCTTTTCATGGTACTGAAAGGCTGGAAATAACCCAAATGGATAAAAAAGTGGGATGGCTAGGCAGCCCATCGTAGAATCACAGCCTGGTGAGGATAGTGTCATATATTTAGTGAGTACTTGGTACAGGTTAGGCACATGGCTAACTGCTTCCCATATATTTCCTAACTTAACAAGCTTGTGAGCAATACTGTTTACCAGCAAGACAATAGAGGGACAGAGGGTGAGTGGTCTGCTAAGCTTTTAACCCTGAATTACCAGTGTGTGGTGGCCTCTTGGAATAGAAATGACTTAGCTTCTGTTGATGGGTTTGGGAAATAAATGTGATAAAAGCTGAAGAAAATTGAGCACACTATGGAGAAATGTGAGGAATGGGAAGTACATTTGAATGGGAAAGGAAATAAATAGAACCGTTTCTTCTGTTTTCTGTGGGGTCCCTATGAAGAGAGAGGGCTGGGGCCCTGTCTGAGCCTCTGGAAACTGGGGAAGCAATTCTCAGGTGCCCTTGGTTAGCATCAGGTTTGACCTACCCCATCTGCCTGCCCTTCCATCTGAGCACTTAAGAATCCACCTCTCCCTGATGCCTTGACTCCCTATCTGTGAGAAAGCCCTGTGGAATGAGACTTCACAAATCTCATCCTTTACAACTACCTGTCTTTTCATTTCCTGTCTTCGCTGCTGCCATGGCTTCTCCTCTGGGGAATTCAAGGCCTTTTCCAGCCGAGAGGATGGTAAATCATGGACTTCAGACTTCCCCAGCTGGTTGTCCTTGTGGCCCAGCAAGTTCCATGGGCCAAAATCTGCTTGTTGATTCTCCTGGTGACATGAAGGACTCCAAGATGGGTCTCTTGCCACAATTGCTGTCATACATAGGCCCTGTGATTAACTCTGGTCCACTGTTCTCCCATTAGGCAGGCAGGGTTGAAACACCCAAAATGTTGGTCTGGATTATTGGCAGGTGGGTAGTAATGACACAGAAGGAATATCTTCGAGGCCTACCCCACAGGATGAGTGGTGGGTCATCATTGGCCAGTTGTAGGGGTGGCAATCAGGGAGGCAGAGTGCCTGCACCTGCTATATAAGCAAGGCTTCTGGCTAAAGGTTGAGGCTTTCTGCCAGCATGGGGCCCTGGCCTTGGTGAAACGGCATACCAGTTTGGCATGATACAGGCTTTCTGAAGGGGACACTAGGTATCTTTTGAATCACAGCTGTTCCTCTGTCCTTCTTTGTATGACCTCTCTTGGCACCTCTTTACATGCTTTCTAGCTTCATAGTGCCCGTAGCTAGCTTCATAACAGTCAGACTTGATAGACGTTTTAAGTACCTTTCCTGTGTGAAATAATAAGCCAGACCTTAAAGGGCTTAATTCTGTGGGACTAGTGAACAGCATAAACAAGTAGCATAGGAGAGTTGATTGAAGTGCTGTGATGGCCCAGCAGAGGGAGTTACTCTTAGCAGTAAGTAGGATCAGAATAGCTGCATTATAATAAGAGGTGCCCAACTTGTGGTTCAGTGTTAGGATCATTAAACAAAGTTAGGGATAAGGTCTGGCCAAGAGTAAACTGCCTATTATGTCTCATTTTCTGTGGCAGTGCCAGATGCTTCTACACACAGGGTCCCATGGCCCCTTGTAGGATGAGGCCCTCAGGGCAAGTGGACATTGAACCAGCTGTTCTTATTCCTCTACAGTGAAGGCCAGGACTCCCAACTGGAGGATAGTAGCTGGTGCTCTAGGTAAATCCCAGCCAGCCATGCTTCTGGCTACCAAGCCCTTGACACCATTAGCATAGAAGACTTCACAGTGCTCATTACTTGGCACCACTAGTGACTCAGTGTTCAATACTTTTGTCTCTGGCCTGAGTTCTTGGCATTTAACCCAAGGCTGAACCCCTTGAAATGACACAAGGGTCCTGAGGTTCTCCAGGTGCCCTTCAATAGTTGTATCTAGATATAGATGTAGATATATGCATACTGTCACATTTGTCCTAACCTAATGTTATATAACTTCTTTTCTAGCAGGATAGACCCGCCCCCAGTCTTTTTGTTTTGTAAACTAAAGTATTTTAAAGTGAATTGATTTGGGGTCTTTCTAATACAGCAAAGTGTGGAATAAAAGGAAGAGGGCTCAACATCCAAAGGTACAGCTCTAACCTTTAAGCTACGTGATTTGTTTCTGTGGAGGGTTTCATGGTTCTGTGTGTGCAGTCCTCTGTATGACCCGGTAGTAGATTAGATAGAGGAACCTTCACCTGCAGCATCCATGGCCATCTGTTGAGTGATCCACTGGAAGAAGGGAAAGGAGAGGTTATGCTGTGTGTGTGGTATGGGTTTTTCCCCCAGATTTAAAAATGAGAACAAAATATGTGTGGTGCTTCAGGAGAATTCTGACTAGTGATAGATTTTTTTTCTTCACTATTTTGTAAATATCTTTTTTTTTTTTTAAGATTTTATTTTTAAGTGATCTCTACACCCAACAAGGGGCTCAAACTCACAACCCCAAGATCAAGAGTCACATGCTCTACCGACTGAGCCAGCCAGGCATCCCTCTGTAAATGTCTTTTTAGTCAGTCTTTTTCAACTGCAGAGCATTACCAATGCTTAAACATTTGATTTTTTTTTTTTTTAGGTGATTGAAGTATATGACTTGACTAAAGTAAAGTTAAAATATTGGTAAGTTTACTCCCCCACTGGTATATGTCACAGGATTGGTACAAATGGAGTTTATCTATTACCCTCATTAAGTTAGTGAAGGATTCCCATCCATAGCAGTTCTAGGCTTATAGCCTGGTGCCATGATTTTCTCAGGCAGCCTCCAAATCTACTCAGCTTTCTGGGGAAGAGAAGGAAATCTTATTAAGGACATGCTGTGTGTAAAACACTTCTCATATGTGTCAGCTCATTTAATCCTCACAACAAAGCAGGACCGCAGCTTAGAGGTGATATGACTGTCTTGTGGGTCACAGCTGCCGTCCTCCCCCCACCACAATAGGTCTGACTCCAAAGCCTATGAATGCTAAAGAGAACGCCAAAGGGACTGCTGTTTGGGGGCCAAAAATTGACTTTTTTTTTTTTTTTAGATTTATTGGAGCGCCTGGGTGGCTCAGGTGGGGAGCTTGCTTTTCCCTCTCCTGCTCTCCCTGCTTGTGCTTGCTCTCTTTCTCTCTCTCTCTGTCAGATGGATAATTAAAATCTTAAAAAAAAAAAATTTACTTATTTTAGAGAGCGAGTGCCTGCAGTGGGGAGGGGCAGAAGAGAGAGAAAGAGACAGACCTAAGCAGACTCTGCACTGAGCATGGAGCCTGACCCAGGGCTCGATCTCACAATCCTGAAATCCTGAGATCATGACCTGAGCTGAAACCAAGAATCACATGCTTGACCGACTGTGCCACCCAGGCACTCTTTTTTTTTTTTTTTTTTTTTTTAAGATTTTATTTATTTATTTGAGAGAGCAAGCACTGGGGGAGAGGGGCAGAGGGAGAGAGAGAAGCAGACTCCATGCAGAGCATGGAACCCACCATGGGGCTCAAGATCACGACCTGAACCAAAATCAAGAGTTGGACACAACCAACTGAGCCACCCAGGCACCCCCAAAATCTACTTTTTAGAATGAAAATGGGAATGGTCTGTATCATAAAACAAATATTTGAGCTCCCATTATGGCAAGGCACTGTGCTAGCATCCAGGATACTCCATATAGTAAGCTTCCTTAACAGCTTCCCTTTCCCTTTGTTGGGGCATGAAAGGGCCCAATTCCTGGGGCTGGCTCAAGCAGCATTTACCAACAGAGAAGTGGATCAAACAAATGTGTAATAGCACTGGTCCCTGCAGATTCTTTTTGTCTTTCAGTTTTGTTGGAGCCTTTGTACCTCAAGGTCTGGTTTCTCTTTTCCCTCTTTTTTATTTTTTTTATTTTTTAAAATATTTTATTTATTTTTGACGGAGAGAGAGAGTGTACAAGCAGGGGAAGCAGCAGGCAGAGGGAGAGGGAGAAGCAGGCTTCCCGCTGAGCAGGGAGCCCAATGTGGGGCTCAATCCCAGGACCCTAGGATCATGACCCAAGCCAAAGGCAGACGCTTAACCATCTGAGCCACCCAGGCGCCCCATCTCTTTTCCCTCTTAAGAGTTAGTGGTAAGTAAAAGCATGGGTCTGGGGTCAGCCTGCCCTGGGTTCATCATTCTCTTACCTCTGTGACCTGGGGAGTCATTTAACCTCTCAGAGTTTGTATTACCATCAGAGAAATGAAGCCAGTAATATGGCTGCTGGGTTAGGAAGAGGACATGAGACACTGCTGGCAAAGCATATAGCACCATGCCTGGTTAAAAAACAGGTGTTCTGGGGCGCCTGGGTGGCTCAGTCATTAAGCGTCTGCCTTTGGCTTAGGTCATGATCCCAGGTCCTGGGATGGAGTCCCATATCAGTCTCCTTGCTCCACGAGGAGCCTGCTTCTCCCTCTGCCTGCCTCTCCCCCTTGCCTGTGCTCTCTCTCTCTCTATAAGCAAATAAAAAATCTAAAAACTTACTGCTTAAAAAAAAAAAAAGAGGTGTTCTTGGGCGCCTGGGTGGTACAGTCAGTTGAGTATCCAGCTCTTGGTTTCAGCTCAGATTGTGGTCTCAGGGTTATGGGATTAAGCACTGAGCATGGAGTCTGCTTGAGACTCTCTTCCTCTCCCTCTGCCCCTCCCCCATGAGTAAATAAATCTTAAAAAAAAAGGAGGTGTTCCATGAATTATGCTAATTTAAAAAAATATTCTTAACCTTTAAGCATTTTTCTTTTTTTTTTTTTTAAGATTTTATTTATTTATTTCACAGAGAGACATCGAGAGAGGAAACACAAGCAGGGGAGTGGGAGAGGGAGAAGCAGGCTTTCCGTCGAGTGGGGAGCCCAATGTGGAGCTCGATCCCAGGACCCTGGGATCATGACCTGAGCCGAAGGCAGACACTTAACGACTGAGCCACCCAGGCGCCCCTTAAACATTCTTCTTAAAGTCATACGTGCCATATCTTCATGCTCATCATCTGAAATCACGTGTTCCTCTTCATTTCCCAAGCCCCTCCCCCTCAGGTGTTTCCCCTTTGCATGGGATCCATCTCTCCCCACTCCCCCCATTCACCCAGTCCTTGAGTGCTGGCTGTTAAGAAAACAAGCTGCTTGGGGCACCTGGGTGGCTCAGTTGGTTAAGCCTCGGACTCTTGGTTTCGGCTCAGCTCATGATCTTGAGGTCCCATGTGGGGCTCTGTACTCAGAGTGGAGTCTGCTTCAGATTCTTTATCCCTCTCCCTCTCCCTGCTCGCCCTGTCTCTCTCAAATAAATAATAAAATCTTAAAAAAGAGAGAAAGAAAGAAAACAAGCTGCCTTGCTTGGCTATACTGTTCTTTTAAGATGTCCATCCCCTTTTAAGAAAGTTCCTTTTGAAGCCAAACTCTTAGTAGGTATCCTAGGAAAACACATTAACACTTTCTATTCCTGTGGCCATTCTTGATCCAAGTCCAAATGCCATGGGGCTGAGACTGAATTTATTTCCTTCTAAACTGCCCAATGACCATACATGTCTTGGGAGGCCCTAAGGATCAGTTGTGTCTGTCAGCCTCAGGAGACTTGACTTGTTCTGACTTCATTAATTATTCCTCACTTAAAAGTTCTTTAATTAAACTTGTGTTTTGGCATACTTGTAAACTCACCTGCCTATGTTTTAAGAATAACTCTTCCAGCCACCATCTTCAGTGATTTGAAAAGCATCTTTGTTTTTCAGTGGAGTGCATTTTAACTCTCAGGCCATAGCTCCCACCATTGAGCAGATTGACCAGTCTTTTGGTGCAACCCATCCTGGAGGTAAGCCCAAGTCCATCTGATTCCTTTCATCATCTGTCGCAGCCCATAATGATAAACCTAGCAAATGATCCCATCCCAGCCCCAGTGCCCCTGAAGCCAAGTTCCTGTAGAATTTGAGAATTGATAGTTGGGTGTGAAGGAAAGCTTCTCCCCCCTTGTTTTCAGCCTAGGAGGTCACTTCAGGAACCAGACACAAGGAAGGTGTTGCCAAGCTGGTTTGTGTTCACATCTTCTGATGCCATTCAACCATGTCATTTTCTCCTTCCCATTCCCACAGTGTACAACTCCGCTGAGCAGCTCTTCCACCTCAACTTCAGAGGACTGTCTTTCTCTTTTCAGTTAGACTCATGGACCGAGGCTCCCAAGTACGAGGTTAGCTCTTCCCTTCCTATGGTATTTGTCACCCAGTATCCAGGTAATATGGACCCAACAGACAGTGCCACGGGGGACGCTGGATAGGTAGCCTTTCTTTGGTTTCCTCATCTCTCAGGTCTTCAGAGGCCAGTATGGGCACAGTGGGTGGGATTGATAGCAAGAACAAAGCCCAAGCCGGCATTCCCAGGAAGAGGGCACTTCCCACTGCAGAGTGAGGTCAGGCTCCCTTTTCAGAGAGAAACTCAGTTGTGCCTTGCTTTAAAACTCCAAATCACTGTGGTTTTTAGCAAATTGTTTCATTCATCCTTAGGTAGCAACATCCTTAGGGTCGTGAAATGATAGATGTTTGTAAAGCTTCCATTTTATTAAAGAAAGCGTTCCTGTAATTTCTTCTTGATGAAAGAACGAAAAACTAAGTAAAATTAAAGATGAACCTCTATGGATGGGGGGAGTTGATTGACATGGAGCCAGGTTTGATTGTGTGCTTTGACCTGGCCCATGAGGGCTGGGGAAATGCTAGAGCCTGGCTCCCATGGCTTGCAGTATGCTCTTAGTAAAACTGTTGTCTTATGTTTGCAGCCCAATTTTGCCCATGGTCTAGCTTCTCTCCAGATACCCCACGGGGCGACTGTGAAACGAATGTACATCTACAGTGGAAACAGCCTACAGGATACAAAGTATATGTGGGGAGCACAAACTTCATGGGCCCTGGGCTCCCTGGGAGGGAGGGCAAAGCCTCTGCTCATTCTGTGCCTGCCTCCAGGGCTCCCGTGATGCCCCTCAGCTGTTTCCTTGGCAATGTGTATGCTGAGAGTGTGGATGTTCTTCGAGATGGAACTGGACCCTCAGGTTTACGACTTCGGCTACTTGCTGCAGGTCAGTTAACTCGACTTGGGGTGGTGAATTCTCCATTATATCCATGTTGAGACAAGCTAAAATCCCACATGCTTAGAGATAGTTGGTACAAGACAACGTGGATATTTATGGTTAAAGTTTTCATTTAAATTTGTGAAGGGACAAAACATAGTTTTATCATTAGCAAATCTTAATAAATGATAGTAGCACTGCTTCCCCTAGGATGTGCATAAGCCTTCTGTGTGCTTATGTAGTTTTTCAGTGCTTCCCAGACTGTTTACTGGAAATGTGCCTTATGGGCTGCAATATTGGTCTGTTCTCCCCTTTTCCACCTTTTTTTTTTTTAAGGTTTATTTACCCATTTTAGAGCACACAGCGGGGAGGGCAGAGGGAGTCTCTAGCAGACTCCACACTGAGCACAGAGCGTGACATGGGGCTCATTCCCACGACCCTGAGATCACGACCTGTGCGGAAACCAAGAGTCAGACACTCAACCAACTGAGCCACCCAGGTGCCCCATTCCCTTTTCCACCCTTTATGCCCAGTTCTCAGTAGGCTGGCAGCAGGGACTTGTTGAATTGTGGTTTGGCCAGACCCTGCTGTGAGTTTTGCTGACTATGAATAAAAAGCTGCTGCCTTCAGTGGCTGGTCTCACCAGAATCCAAGCCTTATTTGTGATTTCCTTGTAAGTGACCAGTTTCAGCTACTGTGGACCTTGGGCCATGCTTGGTAGTACCGGCCATGTCTTTGGCCTCGGAGCCAGCATAGGAGCTGTGCCTTCATGGAGCTCATAGTCTAGCCAGTGTTTGTTCATAAATTGGGGTCTTACATCAGTTTCTAGGGCACTGGTTCTTACCTATGAAGAGTCTGATATATAAACTGTGAGCTCACTCCCCTGAACAATTAGATAGTTTACAACCTCCAGGTTAGGAATTTCTTGAAATGTGGTTTTCTAGCCAAGGAAGAAAACTCTACTTAAAAGAATGTTGCACTTGAGCTATAGTGTTTGAGAGAATTGAGATTGAGAATTGAAATGTAGAAGGTCAAGTGATTTAGGGTCTCTCTTGTCAGGAGGATCACACCTTGAAACAGCAGGGTAGTCAAGGATGATGCAGTATACCAGGTGACAGCAGGAGGAGTCTGTCAGGGTGGGGGATCTCCAGTTGTGACTGCCGTCCTGTACAGCACACTCCCAGCAGTCACATCTCACAGGGTCAGTGGGGGAAACACGTGAAGTCAGGGACTCACCAAATTACTGTCCAATCCAGTACTCATTGAGAGTTTCCTTTGGCAAGCAGAAAGGTAGCTTGTGTCAGCCAACCCATTTCTCACATGTTTCCTTACGGAGTGTAGCTACTGGGATGTTTTTAAGATAGGAAGTCATTTCAACTGTCTTAGTCCCCACAGTAACTTATAGGAAGATTCACTCCAGGGAATCAGAACCTAAAATAGTCTCCTAAAACTAAGGGTATTTTTCCCTGGGTAGGCTTCAGATAGGGTGAGACAAGAGAGAAGACTCACACATGAAGAGTGCCTTCCGCTGTGGCCCCATTTGGACATTTACAAGTGTCTGGTACTTGGAGACTTTGGGCATACAGTCCAGCTTGACAGGACTTTTGGTGGGTTCTGTAGGTCACCCAAGCTTGCCTAAGCAGCAAGATTTATAGACCAGAGGTTAATGTGGGCTATGCTTTTCCTGCGACCTAGTTAAACACAACCTTTATTTGCCACTCAGTGTATATGTGCTGTGACTAAAGACTCTTGGGTTAGTTGAAGAACTCAGTACCAATTTATTTCAGATGTTGGATCCCTGAGGTCTTCCCTATATAACAAATGGATTGTTATATATGAAAGAGCTTTGTCATCTATAAAGCTCCGCGTAGAGTAAGGTGATGGTGATTATCATGTACCAGGAAATGCAGTCTTCCTCAGGTTCTTGCCTGTGTGTGTGTGTGTGTGTGTGTGTGTGTGTGTAGGGGAAGTAAAACACTTTGTCTTCCCATCCACAGAGTTGGTGTGTCTGTTGCTATTCCACATCTACTGCTATGTGTGTGTGTTTAACTGGAATTGTTTCCAAAATGTATTAGAGTCAGGGTTTAAACAGTCTTCCCAAAGAAGAAACTTTTGGCAAATTGGATTTTCTTATCCTCCCACTTTTCTGGTTTGTCATTTTTGAGTGTTACTGGGTCTATCAGTGTTTGTAGAATTAGGGAGTGAGTTAATGGATGTTTCACTCTTGGCTTTTCTATAGAGTGATCTTGAGGTCCAGTCTCTGGTTGGGGGTTACCATTGAGAAGCCCCTCTTAACATAAATTCTTGTATCTTGTCAGGACCTGGAAAGTGGCAAGAGATAATAGCACCTCATTATATACTTCCATAGTATCTATGCTGCTGTGTATTGTACCACAGTTGGGTGGCGTCAGATTGGGATCTTCACACCATAAGCTCCAATATGGGCAGAGACTGCACTTGTTTTGCTCAGCATGTTTCTTCAATATCTAACAAAGTGTCTAGCCCATGGTAGTCAATAAGTAAATATTTGGTGAGTGAATGAATGAAGTTTTCAGAGTTCTACCTCACTTTTGTGATTGAATGAGTCTCTGGGATTATTTCTTTTTTTTTTTTTCTTTTCAGTTTTTTTGTTTGTTTGTTTTAGGTTTTTTTAGAGAGGGAGACAAGGGAGAGGGGCAGAGGAAGAGGGAAAAAGAGAATCTTAAGCAGCCTCCATGCCCAGCATGAGCCCAACTCGGGGCTCAATCTCACCACCCTGAGATCATGACTTGAGCCAAAATCAACAGCTGGACGCTTAACCGACTGAGCCACCCAGGCTCCCCTCTCTGGGATTATTTCAAGTAGATGGTTATCTCTTGTAGCATCGCAAGCCCTTGTGACCTGGTATTTCTGTTTTTATGCAGTATATTTTTATTAGCCAGAGCTAATAATGCAGCGTGCAGCCATTGGCCTCTCTGGGGCCCCCTTGGCCCTACGCTGCAGGATCTCAGGCTCTGGGTGGGAACCTGACACCTTTCACTTAACTCTCTGCAGGTTGTGGACCTGGCCTATTAGCAGATGCCAAGATGCGGGTATTTGAACGTTCAGTGTATTTTGGTGATTCCTGCCAGGATGTTCTTAGCATGCTTGGCTCTCCGCACAAGGTCTTCTATAAGTCAGAAGACAAGGTAGGGGAAATGTGTTTATAAAGTCAAATAGGCAGTCTCCTTTTAAGTAAATTCTGCCGCCAGGGTGGGATTCGAACTCACAATCCTGAGATCAAGAGTCACATGCTCTACCGACTGAGCCAGCCAGGCGGCGTCCTTCTTTTTTATCAATATTAACTTAATATCAAGTAAATATAAGCTTCATTATTTTTCCATAGAACCTGTTCTATTAAGACTGATAAAGAATTAAATTGAAAGCTCTTTCCTGATACTGTTGGTCAGATTATCCTGCCTTTTCTTGGGAGGCCAGGGCCCAGTCTGTGGTCAGCCAAAGCTGGCTGCATTGTTCAGCAGTAGCAGGGACGGTGACACTCCTGCTTACCCAACAGCTTAATCTTATACCCAAAACACAGTTTGTAGACTTTTAGTTAATCTGAGAACTGTATTAAGGAGTTGGGATTTTAATTTGTTGTTATTTTCTTCCCAACAGATGAAAATTCATTCTCCTTCCCCTCATAAACAAGTTCCATCCAAGTGCAATGACTACTTTTTTAACTACTTCACTCTTGGAGTGGTAAGTTGTGATTCCTTAGAGAAATTTTTCATTTCTGTGGTGGTGGACCATGCACCTGGGCACATCTTTGTGTCCACATGGAGCTGTAACCATGCCTGGTAGCAGGGAAACCAGCTCCAGCTGGCTTTGCCCGGTAGTCTTGCATTGGTACCCTAAAGTGGGCCTTGCCTACCACTGAGATTGCTCAGAAACACTAGGTCCCTGGTATGTTTTGGCTTCTTTATTGAGGGCACCACGCTGCTCAGGTGGAGACTGTGGGAATCATTCAGGGTAACATAGTTTGGGATCTGCCCATTTGTAGAACATAGGAGCCTCTTCTGGAGTCACAAAACAGGGAGACTAAAAAAGGGTCAAAGACAGTGGGAATGAGGGCTCCTGGGTGGCTCGGTTGCTTAAGCGTCTGCCTTCGGCTCAGGTCATGATCCCAGGGTCCTGGGATCGAGCCCCATGTCGGGTTCCCTGCTCAGCAGGAAGCCTGCTTCTCTCTCTCTCTGTCAAATAAAAAAAAAAAAAGATAGTGGAGCCAGGAGTAGTGGGGGAACAGCAGTGGGGTCATAAACTTTTGAGGGTAGGACAGTAGCAGGAGGGAATGGCACTTTGTAAGTGGAACCTCTCTAGTTCAAGGGCCATTGATGATAAGGGACAAGGAAGATGGAACAAATGGACCAACCCTAATAGGACTTAAGTAGCTAATGTAGGGTTGGAGTCAGAGGTAACCCTGAGGTCACAGGCCCAGAAGGCTGGCAGGATGTGAAACTTGGGGAGGGTATGGGGGATAGGAAGAAGTGTTCAGTGGGCAGCATCAAATCCAGATCTGAGTCCTGGTGAGAGGCTGGACCTTTGGTTCTAGGGGTTGCTCACTCCCATAGAGGGCCTAATGGCCAGTCATGGCATTCAGAATAGTTAGGTGCCTTGAGGCGCTGGAAATTCAGGTGGTCCCTGAATCTTCTTGGCAGCCTTTAAGCCAAAATCTGTGCTCAGTTAGTTTATAATCAGGTGCTTGTTAGGAAAGGTCTCCATGATGTGTTTGAGTTCCTAGGCAGTAGGAGTTGTAGGCCATGCGTCTGCTGGGTCTGCTGCTACAAAGTTTGGAATGAGGGGCCTGCAGATAATTGGGTGCCCCCTTCACTGAAAATGTCCAGTTAAGGCTGTTTGGCCTCAGCTATCCTCTTGACTATTGTTTGGGAGAAAGCTATTGCCCAGACTCATCCGCCTTGTGGCGTGGCTGTCTTTGAGTTGGACATGCTCTTAGAAAGGCCCTTGCCCAGCCTCAGTAACTTTCCCTACTTGGACATCCTTGTTTTCTATCCCAGGATATCCTCTTTGATGCAAATACACACAAAGTGAAGAAGTTTGTCCTACACACCAATTACCCTGGGCATTATAATTTTAACATGTGAGTATACCTGTACCTGCCCCTCCCAAGAACTGAGCTTTGGGTTGAAAATTCCCAGGAAAAGAGAGCTTTGAATGTTCACTAATTTGTACCTGAATTCTTACAGTTTCGTGGGAAATGAACATTTCCTGAGTGTTTGCTCTGTTCCTGGTATAGTGTCAATACCTTACGTCTCTCCATTTGTACCCATTTTACAAATAGGGAAGTAGGTTCAGAGAGCCTGGTATCTTATCCAAGATGACAGGGTCTTCAGACCCCAGAGCAGGGCTTTGGGGGTGGGTTCATTCTGTGTTTCCTGGGGTGCGGGGTTGAGATGCGCGGGTGGTCAGGCCTTTCAGGGGGCCCAGCCTTTATCCATCTGGCTTCTCTCTCTAGTTATCACCGCTGTGAGTTCAAGATCCCACTAGCCATAAAGAAAGGTGAGTAGTGAATATCGTTCGAGTAAGAAAAGGGTTTTGAAGTTAGTCTTTCATGATGCAGACACACAGTGATCCAAACAGAAATAGTAGCAGGAACCTTTGCCCACCTGCTTTGCCCATAGCCTCAGCTCCTCTGGGTTGGGCTCTGTGTTCTGGGGCTGCACATTTTTTTGGCCTGTAGTCTGCTGGAGGCTCTCAAGGTCTTTTCCTATGATCGTGGGATTGCTGGTCCATGATGGGGAGAGTTTCCTACACATGATTATCCAGGTGCTCCCAGGTCAGCCTTGTGACTGCTGTCTCTACCCTCCTCCATTCGGCAACTCTGAAATAGCCCATCTGTCCTCCCTCTGTTGTCCAACCCCAATGCACAGGGTGGCCAGGTCTGGATTCTCCCTAGGGCTAGGGTCACACGTGGGCTGGACCAGCTACCAACCCACTCTGTGTTCTCTTTTCAGAAAATGCAGATGGTCAGACAGAAACATGCACAACCTACAGCAAGGTGAGCTCCTATTTTCCCACCTCATGTAGCCCCAAAATGAGGTGGGTGTGAGCCTGCCAGCAGTCTGGGGCCCATGTCTTCTGGGCCAGCCATTGGTCACAATTAGGTTCCTGCTAACCCCTTGCCGCCCCCATCCCTTTTGCAGTGGGACAACATCCAGGATCTCCTGGGCCACCCTGTGGAGAAGCCTGTTGTCCTGCATAGGTGAGTGGGAGGTTGCCATCTCTGACCACCCCTTCCTGCTCCTCACAGCCCAGAAGACTTAGGGAAGCCTAGCTGTGCCTATGGCTTAGAAATGACAGAAGTTTCTGTTGTTGCCACAAATATACTTCTCGTCCCCCACCCTGCACATTACCACAGGGCCAGCTATTCTGCATGTTTACCTGCACCAGAGAGGTTACCCCTTGGGGATAGCTCCCCTCTCCAGGTAGGCGGGCCTTTTACCCCTAGTTATTCAGAAAAGGAAGCACTTTTCACTGGCTGTCCTGGGCTCTTTTTTTCCCATTAAAGTTGCCACATGCTGTAGTGTACAGCTTCCTACCCAGTTGCCATGCTGCCTGAGGCTCCTCCCTCCTAACTTTCCACTCCAATCTAACTGTGTAATAACTTCCTGTGCCTCATTGGGCTGTGTAGGAGTCAGAGCTTGAATGATACCTGTCACTACCCCTGGTACTTCAAGGGCCCGTGTTGGAAACAGCCATGAGAGACCACTGGCCAGTAGCCCCCATCCCAAAAGGGACTGGATGCCCTGCCTAGCCTCAGCTTCTGTCTGCACCTCTAATTCTGGCTTCCCTGGCCTCAGGTCCTCCTCCCCAAACAACACCAACCCATTTGGCTCTACATTCTGCTTTGGTCTTCAGCGGATGATCTTTGAGGTAAGCCCTGCGGGTTGAGGGGCCCATGGCCATGGCAGGGACAGGCAAGTGATGGAGAAAGGTTGGGGAGGGCCTAACAGCCCTGCTCGGTGAGTTAATCCTTCCCCAGTAGCCCTGTCTGCTAAGAATCTGACCTGCCCGCATTGAACAGTAAGAGTACAGAAACTATGTTGGGGAAATTCGAGGTCATGGAGGCTAAAGCAGTAGCCTTATCCAACAAGATGAGAGGTAACGGGGATCCCACATATGTGAGAACGTAAATATGGTAGGAAAGGAAACCCCAGGGAGCAGATGGGGCTCAGCGTGGGACTGTTGGGGTTCTTTGAATGCCGTATGAAGGAATGTGCTATGGGTGAGTGGCTGTAGAGGCCCTGCTGGCTTGGGAGAAGAATGGGCTGTCCCTCTTCTCCCTTTTGGATGTCACACCTTCACTAGGCCCCTAGCAGGTACAGAAGGACTGGGTAAACAGGTATAGTGAAGTATCCCATGAAGAGCAGGCAGTTGCTGGGCCAGGATGACTCCTAGCATGAGTTGGGGGATGTTGAGGGATCAGCCCAGCCCTGTGTGCAGGTGTGTCGCACACACAACGTCCATTCTTTGTGCACAGGAGCTGCCCCAAATCCCTTGTCTGCAGTCACAGCCCTAGTACTGGTGGTTTTTATGGATCTGATTGCCTACCATGCTGCATCCCTTCTACTCCTCCCCTTTGATTCATTGTCCGCTTCTCACACCAGGTCATGCAGAATAACCATATTGCCTCGGTGACCCTGTACGGCCCCCCCAGGCCTGGTGCCCACCTGAGAACAGCGGAGCTCCCCTAAGGACATCACCACCCATGCCCCTCTGCCCCGTGGAGCTGTGCATTGCATCCTGTTCAACGGGCCTCCATGTGCCACCCTGTGGGTTTTCTTGGACACCTTGCCAGTGTTGAAAGGCTGTTGTGATGTTCTGAGGTGGGGCTCAGACTGGGTGCTCTGCCATGGGGTGAGAGGCCCAAATATTCCTCTGTCCGTCCTCGGCCTGCTGGTGCCAACAGAGGACACAGACTGCAAAGAGAAGCACAAACTCTGAGCCTTGATACCTAGACCCAGGCGACCTCGACTAACACATACGGAGGCAGAGTTCTGTCTCTCCTGTTCCACACGCATTGGGAAAAGTTGGGACTCTTTCTGTGGCTGAGGACACAGGCACCCGGGACGAGGACGAGGTCCTGCCTTTGGCCCATCATTGCCACGTGACCCTTAAGGCAAGCAGGTAGCATGTCCATAGTACTTGGTTGCGACTTTTGCACTACATCCACTTTAGTTACTTGATGAGCTGGCTGTGGCCAAGGTGGCCCACCTGCCTTTCCCTGTTCCTTCCTTGCACGTGCTCCCTACCAGGCCCAGTAGGCACACCCAACTCATTGAAACACAGCTTTTTACCATCCAGGTATGTGCCCAGGCCTGGTTCCTGCCCCTCTTGGAGCCAGCCTTCAAGGTCACCTGTGCCCCTGCTCTGCCCCAACTTGGCTGGCAGGCTGCATGTTTCCATCCTGTTTGCCTCTTTTATTTAATGCCAAAGTTTTAGCCAAAGACATCTTCCTCCTTTTATTGTTTCAGCATTCTGTTCTGCACTGTGGGCTGGCTCTCTTGCCCCAACCCTGGGCAATGTCCCCTGGCCAGGCCCATTCATGGCCCAAGGCCTCTGGGGGCTCAAGGAAGGCTGGGCTGCTCAGTCTTTTCATGGGTCTTGCTAAGGAAAGTAGCATATGTGCTTTAAAAATAATCCTTTTGAAAAGAATTGAGAAGAGAAATGTATAATTTTACCCCATTTTTAATATTTTGGTCTAGCAACTTGTGATACATAGATGACAATTTTGTGAGTTTTTCAAATGTGTGTACAGACTTTTGTAAATATGACTCTTTTGTAATTAACTCATGTACAGCCTCATCCTGTAGAGTTTAACAATGAATGTGGAGGGGACCTGCCCCAGGCTCCTAGGTGGTTCCTGGGCTTACAGCCAGGCTTGTGTGGCGTTCCATAATTTTGTGACTGACTGGTGTCTTCCCATTTGGACTGTGGCCTGGCCAGAGACCCACACACACATCCCCCTGTAGGGGCAGCCAGGACTCTCCCCATCTTCCTAGAATAGGGGAACGTTCCTCATGCCCTGCCCATACCCCTCCAATAAAAACCTGTGCCCTCAGCAGCTGCTCACCATGTGCTGTTGCTGGGATGTTTGTACTAAAATAAGCATGGAGGTGTTGATTTTTAAGAACGTGGGTGAAGGATATGGGAAATTTTATGGTGGAGTCATCTTAGGTTCCTTGGCTCTTCTGAGTGGGGCAGCACAGCCTCTAGTAAGAGACTGGCACTGTTGTGTGTGTGTAAATTCTTATGTGGTGAGAAAAGACTCTAGGTAGGACCATGCACTTGTTTGTCCCTGTGTGCGTCCATCCCTGGTGTTCCAGCCAGACCAGGGCCCAGGAGGGGTTGGCTTCGGGAAGGGACACCTCAGAAGAAGATCTAAAGATCAGTACAGGGCTGAAAATCCAATTTGGATGGGCAGGTGGGAAGCAAAATGCCTACCTTCAGATTGAGTTGTAGCAAAATGCCTGCCAGTTCCAGGACCCCACACCTCCTCCAGCCTTGAGAGAGACCTGCATTTGCATCACTCTAGGACTTCCAAATCAAGGAGTATGGTCAGATTCCATGAGCCTCTGCGACCACCATCCCCAAACCCCAAAAACCTACTTGGTAGTAGGAGGGTCAAACATGTCCACCTGTTTGGCAGAGCCTGCTGCTCTAAGGCCTCAGCCCTGGCTGTCCTAAAGGGCTACCATTCAGGTGGTTCTAGATCAGCTCCGAATAAGGTAGGCCAGCAGGAGCCAAGTTCAATCTTAATTCCCTGGGGAACTGTGGAGGCAGACTTCTGGTGATATGGGCTAGATTTTTGAAATCTGCCTCTGGGGAAGAACTACATACACGGCGATAATCATCCTGGGTCTGAGTGAGGGGAGCTTGGGGCCATGAAGGTGGCTAGGGGCCCCACTGGAAAGAGCCAGCAGCGACAGGCCACGGATGGGCACAGGCTAGCCCTTGGGGCCCATTCAGTAGGTGCCACATAAGCCAGATGTCGGCGGCCGAGAGCCCGTGTACTACAACCAGCTCCCGGTAAAAGCAGGGGTCAAAGGTGCGCAGGTGCGGCGCTGCTGACGGCCGGGGGATGCCAAAAGTCCGGAAAGCAGGGTGGGGCTCTGGTGTGAGCCGAAGGCGCTGCAGACACATGCCCAGAAAGACGTCGTCAATGGGGAAAAGCTCAACTTGCGCGCAGGCGCCGGCCAGGCGACGGAGCGTGGCCCCCGAAAGCACAAAGCCACCACCACCCGCATAGGCCGGGTAGGCGGGCAGGCCGTACACCGCCTCAGGGATGTAGTATTTACTGGTCCGCGCACGGATTGGCCGAGCCTGCACGATCACATCGCCCGCAAGCAGGTCCTGCGCCGGGTCCCGCGGCGCCAGGAACTCCAGCAGGTTCCCCACGTGCACGAACACGTCTGCATCGCCCTTAAACACGAAGCGCACGTCGGGGCAGTAGGCCGTGGCCCAGGCGAGAAAGTGAATCTCCTTGAGCGTTAGGTTGAAGAAAGTGTCGTCGAAAGCCCAGAGCAGGATGTCCGCGTACGCGCGGCTCTCAGCACGCAGCAGGGCAGGCCAGTGGGTTCGCGTGCCCTCCCCCTCCGCGTCTGCCCCGTCTGTGCCCGCGCCCCTGGGCACGCCCAGCAAGAACACGCGGCGCACGAGCGCCCCCTGCACGCGACCCTCAGCACCCCACGTCTGGCGCACGGCTTGGCGCCGCTCGAAGTCCGCCGCCACTGACTTGACGGCGATGAGCAAGTCGGGTCCACCTTCAGGTGCGCCATCTCCTCGGCACTTGTGCGGCTGATTAATGAGCAGGGGGAAGCGCCGCTGGTCCTTGGCGCGCAGGTAGCGGCCAAAGTCAAAGGGCCCCGTGGGTGTGGGCGGCGCCGGTGTGTCCCCTTCGTAGGCCAGCGGGGCCAGGGCTGCGCCTGCGTCCGATGCCTGGAAGACGCGGAGTCCGGGAGTGGGCCCTGGCGCTGCCTTCCCTTTCGTTCGCGGGGCGCTTGTCGTCGGGGCCGCGCCCTCGCGCTGTGCGTAGAGAAGGAGGCCGAGGGCGGCGCCGAGGAGCAGCGTGAGCGACGCGTCCCCGCGGAGGCGCAGCCTCCGCCTCATGTCCGCGTGGCTGGCGCCCGCGCCCCCTGCGGAAAGACTCAGTCAGGGGCTCGCGACGCGGAAGCCATTGGCCGGGAGGAGTTCCCGGCCTCGGTCTCTCCGAGGGGAAGGGGCGGAGGCCAAACGCCGAGGGTCTCAGCTACCGGCCATTCATCCCCCTCCGGCGTTCTCCCGCTCTGGGCTGTGGCACACCCCCCACACACTGGGTTGGGTACCCTGAAGGGGCTGGAAGTTTCTCCTAGTAGCCAGTCCCCACCCCCCTCAGCGCCGGCCCGGGACGGTTACCTAAGGCCTGGAGACGCCGAGCTCGGCCCCCGTTCCCTCCCGCCCTTCCCGCGCTGAAGCAGAATCCCTTCTACCCCCTCCCTAGCCACCACGTCGGTCCTTGGGATCCCGACACTCACGCTTGTCCCTTGGGAGTGGCGCAGCCCCGGACGCCAGGGCCTCCGGGGCTCAGCGCAGGGTCCCAAGGGCAGCCATGGACGGGGCTTGGGCCAAATGCAGCGTTGGCAGGAAGGGGGAGGCCGGGGCCGCTGCCACGTGACCCTCCAGCTGTGCGCGCCTGGACATCTGGAGCTCAGCTCCGCCCCGGCGCCGCGGGGAGCGCAGTCTCCTAGTGAAGACTAATCTCTGAGAGGGATCCCCACGGGCAGCTCTCTCTGGGAAGGCCGGAGGCGGTGGGTTCTGGCCTCGGTGTGGGCTCAAACTCCCCAACTCTGCCTTTTGGTGGGGGTAGGAAGAAACATTAGCCTCTCTGGTTAATCTCCGCACCCCCACCTCTCCGGAGTGAGGCAGGGCCTGGGCTGGCAGGAGCCCAGGGCTGGCGGGTCCCAAATCCCCCAGGCTGAGCGTCTTAGGCATCTACTTGGCCACCATCCCAGGCTATCCTTGGAAGCGCCTCTCCTCAGCTCACCAGCAGCCCAGGTTCAACCAGGCAGGACCTATAATCATAAATGGCCCTGGACATACGGCTGCCTCCTTACTCCTGGTTCTGTCATGCCCCCCTCCCACCCCAGCAAACACACACACACACACACTGACCCACAAGATTCAATTCTCACAATTCTGGTAGCAGCTCTCATTGCTCATGCAGATGCGGACACTGCCCCTTAGGGAGTTAAGTGACTTGCCCAGCATCATACAGGCAGAAATTCAGAGCGTTGCCCTAGGTCTTCTGGAATTCAGTCTGGGACTCTTTGCTCTGCCCTCCCTTGCCCCTCTCTGCATCTATCCACTAGGGATACAGGACAGGGGCCAACCCTCTCTGCTTTAACTTCACAGTGGAGCACTTCAGTCTGTCTCCCCAGAGGTACCTCTGGGCCCCCTGGGCCCTAGTACCCTGCACCAGCATAGTCCAGCATAGCCTCCTACAGGCAGAAATAACCAAGCCTGGGTCACTGCAGGCCAGATTGGACTGGTAGGGATGATTCAGCTGGAGGGATTCCTGAAGTTGGCCAGTGAGTAAAGGGTTTGATCTGGGACCCCAGTGGGCAGAGAGTTGTTCTGGAGATTGAATGCCTCCTCAATTGAGCAGGCAGCCCCGCCCTCCATCGTACTGAAAAAGGCAGAAACTCTGAGGTCCTCCTGCACTCTCACTCCTCATCCAGGGTCACTAGGCCTGTTACCTTTCATCCTAAACAGTTCGTGGTGTTCATCCCTTCCCTCCATCTCTGCTGCCACTGCCCTAGCCTGGGCCTCCACCCCTACCCTCCCACACTCCACCTCTCCCTCTTCTCCCTCCTCACCAGCCTCCCCACCTTAACTCCCCAGACTTTCTAAATGCTTCTCACTGGCCTCAGTGTAAAATCCAAAATCTGTAAAATGGCTTACCAGACCCTGAGCTATCTGCCTCCCACACTCACCAACTGCTCTCTTTGCAAACCCACCCGCTACCCCTAGATCTAGCCACTCCAAATTTTCTGTTCTTCTAACATCCTCTGTTCTTCTAACTTTCCTCAAGACCTCACCCAAGACTGGCTATGTCCAGAATGTTGCCATTCCCTCAACCCGCCACCCTCATATCTCTCCCTGGAAGCCTAACCTGGGTTAGGCACCTGCTCAGAGCACCCACAACTTTTTGTATTTTTCACATAAAAAAATGGGTAATATTTTATTGCTGTTGCTTAAAATCTGCAGTCCAACACTGAGTATGAACTGGGGGCAGGCAGGTTTCGTGTATCTTGTTCACCACAGTATTTGCAGCACCCAGGATGATGGCTAGGACACAGCAAGTGCTTAATGAGTTAGTTGTTCAATGAGTGAAGAGGTAAGGGCTGGCCAGAAGCCCCTCATTTGGGATGGGCAGACCGCTGGAGCAGGTGACCCATGTACTTTGTCTATATCACAGTATCTGAGGCCAAATCCCCAATGGCACCCCAACAGGAATGGTGGGGGCTTGCCCAACTCCTGGAGAAGGCAGTCAACGCTACCCAGCAGCTCCAACAGCTGGGCTAAGTGGGGTTATCAGTGTGGTCTCAGAGTCCCGTGGATGGACAGGAGCTCCGCAATAGCAGCAGAAGGGACCCTAGGGTCATCTAGGTGTTCCAAACGCTGCTGGGCAACTGGCCGATCCCCCCTTTTTCTGGTACTCAGGTTAGGCCAGACTGCCATCGGAATTCGCGAGGCCCAGCAAGTCCTCTGCAAGGCTGGTGAGCTCGTTCTCCTCAAGGGCCTCTACCAGGCGCTGCAGCGTGGCGCGGCGGCCCTCGGCCTGCACGAAGCGCCGCAGCAGCTGGAAGGCCTGCTCGTACAGCCCTTCGCGCTCATACTCATAGGCCAGTGAGTCGAGCGCCGGGTCCCGCAGCGCACGACAGCCTCGCTGTAGGGAGCGCCCCACTTTGCGCCATTTAACACCCACTGAGCGCGCGAACGTCTGTTGGTCCTGCAAGCTCAGCGGCCGGTTCACTGCGGAGCGGGGGGGGGGGGGGGGGGGGGGGGGGGGGG